TTTCCTAGGTCAAAAATAAATTAATCCGATGTTTCAATACAATAAAATATTGAAAAATAACTATACTTTTATTAATCGATCGATCGATATACCAAGTTTTAGATTTTTTTAGCAAAAATGTTATGACGTCATAGCTCAGTTCTTCATACCAATTTCATAGAAAAGTATCGTTTTTGACGTTTGGATAAAAGTATTGAATTTGACTAGTTGGAAACTACCGTATTCTTATTATCGGCATGTATAAATTAATATTTATGTTGTTTGTTTCAGGCCTTTAATAGTAAAAGTCCTACAAATGGTACAGGCACCATGCGGATAGGCTCAAGCAAGCCCTATAGGCATATATCGTTAATGCCCCTCAGTACGGTGAAACGTGTCGTTGATATACGGGAAGCTGAAGGTAAGTGCTTGATAGTTAAAAACATTTATAGATCTAAACAGCAGAAGCACGAATTTATATCATATTCGTGAACATTCCTTAAATAAATCATGCATTGAAGAAAATATATTTTTTACAGACTGTCACAACGTATTCGCACTGATGTGCCGCAATAACCAAGAGCTCAAAGAAAAGTTGTTCTCTTTCATGATAACTGATGAAACCGTAGACAAGCCACATTTTCTTCGACAACTTTGCCGGCAAATGGCAAACACGGTCTGCAAAGCTGATGCTGTAAGTATAGTTTAGTCAGTTAAGTACGTGTATCTATTACATCTTGAAGAGAGTACCTTCTGGGTACCTACTTTCATTAATGGGACATCTTACATGGACTGTACATCCGTACAATGAGTAAACATTACACCTACTATTTCTTTACCCGTTGTATAACCTTTACATTCTAAATAAGATTTGTTTCATAGAAGGACCCAATAAACTTATGTGGGACACATTTCATACATAATAAGATCTACATGTATTCAAATTTATCCCACACATAAAGGCTGACATTGAAACAGGCTTTTAAGTAATAAAATCTTATTCAATAACTTTTATTATTATTACCAAACCATTGTAGGTGTATCAAGGACAAAAAAGGTTGGTTTATTATTCTAAAAGAAAATCGTGCTCGGCACTCTTAGGGATACTAGTGATTGGTTTTATTCAATATTTTCATTATTCTAACAAATAAAATTATTTTAAACAAATGCCTTCAATTGTTTTCAGGACAAATTCCTAGCGTGCTTAGAGTCGCACCAACTTGATATCGACACGAGCGAACTCGCGCTGAGCACTTTATCGAAAGTGTCTAAGTTTGCAGCGCGCACGAGAATCAAGGTATGAATTTTCTAAACATCGTTTATAATTAAAGTTAACTTGTTTCAGTGTTGAATGGCATTGTTCCGAAAGCTACGAATAGGTTAACAAAGACTCGCCCAAAATGAATGGGATTGTTAACCTCTTAGCTCTCGAAAATCTTTATAAAAATATGTGTAAATGAATAAAGCATGGATTAAATGATACGGATTAGCTTTAGCTTGGACATAGAAATAACAAGCACATTACTATTATGGTGGTAAGTTACAGAAAATGTAAAAATGCTACTTAACTACACGAAGAAGTTGGACACAAGCATTTCTATGTAACTAAGGCATGATATTGTAGTCTGCAGTCGTTTTGCATTCGATTATGTCAACGTGTTATAACAATCAGTTGTCATACATTCATTTACTCGCTGGCTCTCTTTTTAAATAACTCTCTTGAGTTTCGGTGTACCAATCTAAATGCTGCAGACATTTTGACATATTGAAGTGTAAAGGTAGACATTGTAAATTCTAATATAGCCTGGTATCTAAGTATACGTCACTGGCTGAACAATTTAATCATTTGGCATTTTTCCTTACATGCATTACAATAAGAGGAAAATACTTTGAATTTAGAGAATGAAAAGGTTCTTCATTTCCATTTTCTCGTGAATTTTAAAAGAAGTTGTCTATGAATGTTAGTGTGATATTTAAACATCCACACCGAACATTTAACACTTCAATGGAATGAACAATAAATACCAAGTATATTGATTCATTAACTAGAGTATACTGATCGGACTTGCATGCTGTTATTTTGTAACCATGGTCGGCAGTACCGGCCAGTGGGCACTAGAAACAGTGCGTCCGGTGCGTTTAGCTTATAGTAGTTTCGGGTTGAGTGGCAGTTGAGCGCAGTGGCACGTGTTGTGTTGTAGCTGGAGGCGCTGGCGGGGCTGACGGGGCTGCTGCGGCCCGAGCCAGGCTCCGGCCTGCTAGACACATGGGTATTGCGCGCTCACTTACTCGCACAGGTCTGACGCGGCTCTGCCACACTCCTCTCGCTCCGTCCCCGACTAATATTCATCCGCACACTGCTTCCTGTGTATGATACCTTAACGTTCGCGTCTCTCGCCATTCTGTGCATTTAGATGTGTGTTGGTTGTTAATTTATTTTCAAAGCCGGTTACTTAACATTTTAACGGAAAGTGATTGATTAATTATATACCGGTTTACGTTGCACGTCGCAAATTGATGTCAAGATTATTGCCCGATACACTTCTATTTGACCACAAATCATTAGCGTTAACTTACTCATTCCATCTTGGTTTAAGGATCATAATTATTCATTTAATATGAAACATTTCATAATTGTAAAGACACCACTTGATACTGCTAATATTAATGTATTTGGATCGCTGCACTAGAATTCAGCTCAGCTGCCGCGCAAGTTGCCGCGTTCGTTCTGTCGGCTAAAGCACAGGAATCAGTGTGCGTGCACAGAAACATTGGGTCGTTGTTTAGCTCGGTGACACTACTATCGTCACATGTGTTTACTTAATCAGATGTGTCGTAACGTCCTGCAAATCTGTGTCCTGCTTAGTAAATACCTCTCCATCGAGGAAAGAGTGAGGTTCGACGGAGTGACTGTCACAAGTTAATGCTTCGCTTCAATTCCTTTGTGATTAACTATTTCGTGAGCGTGCCATACCAGTGGTGTTTTAACATGATCATCCATACACATGTTCATTATTTTGTTGGTTCCTCAATATGTTGTATTCGTACTGAATATGGGCATGGTTTGTTTGTGATAAATTATAACTTTTTAGATAATCTATATTTATTTATTGTGGAATTTGGAATCTTGGCCATTTCAAAAAATGTTAGACATTATTGATAAAATAGACGACTTGATTTTCTTAAATTTCACAACGTAAGTAGCCTTTTAGTACTTGTCAAGATTGGGAACTGAAGAGTCGACATACTAAGATAAAATTATAATATAATAATTGGTGTACAGGTGGGTCGTGCGTTTTCGTTCAACAAAACGCCGTCGAAACTAAAGCGTGCCATGTCGTCGATGATCTCGCCGTTCGGGTCTACCTCCAACCTCACACCAGCCTCGCAGCTGGCACAGATGAGGCTCGCTAGCTGTAATAACATCAACGTGAGTATCATGGAGACGGAGTGACAGTATCCGTCCGATACGTGGAGGCGGTGGAACAGTGGCGCAGTGTAGGCTTGTGTGTGCAGGAGATGGGCACGAGCGGGGGCGCGGGCGGCGCGGGCGACGTGCTGGTGGCGCCGCTGTCGGTGCAGCCCACGCGCAAGGCCGCGCCGGCCGCCGCGCTGCGCCGCTTCTGACGCCGCGCCTGACCTACGCCCTAACCCTGATCGGGCTATACTGGAATTGATCGTGCAACTTTACTAAGTTATTCGAAAGTATTAAATAAGTTGCAGTCACAGCCGGCCTATCGCGATCGAATATGAGTATCGGTTGTAAATCAAAGTGTGCTTAGATGTTGTCATTAAAATGTATAAATTCATAACTGTACAAGTTTTCATCGTGAAACTGATGTCGGGCAGTGTGTTCGGTAGCTACCAGTGAAACTCCACTACTTATGAATCTTGTAATTTTATGAATGTGTATAATTAAATTACCTATTTTCGTTGTAAACTACGGCCTATTCGTGGCTTAGCCAACTTGCCAAAAAGCGTTCACATCAACAAATCAATGTAAAACTAAATTCAAACAACTGATTTATATTTCTAGAAAATTCATCAAAAATAGTATATATCACTGTATGCACAAATCTAGTTCAAACAACAGTTATCATTAAATTATATTATCTACGAATTCCTATTACTCTATTGATTTGTTGATAAGTGATAATTTTTGAGGTTAATAGACATAAAATATCAATTATATACGATGGAATCGATGGCCTAATTTAGCTAACATACGAATTTATTCATCTGTCAACAAGTCACAGAAAAAATTACTGATATTATTGAGATTTAGTTTTGAAAATAATTTGTACATATGTGATATTTTAAATATATTGTGAAATAGATCATAGCAAACACTAGATCATAGTAGGATACCCATGTTATCAATCTGATGCTGATTCAAAGCTCTTTAAGTGAATTGTTATGTGGTAATGGACAATGAATTACTCAAACGTTTGAATCGTTCAGGATGGGTAGATAGGTGTTGTAAATAGTGTACGGAACATGAGCAGCTTATGTAAAGTAGGCGCCCTCGAATGTATCTTTAAATATATTCAATTGCGTCTATATGTTTTATGAGAGTCTCACTTAGGCTACTATCATCAATCATGTGTACACATGTTGCTACATTGTACAAAAGAACAATATTTATAATATTTTAAATGATTGATAAAATAAACATTTATTTTCAATCAAATGTGTTTGTTGTTTCTTAAAAAATATTTCGCCATTCAAAACTCACAAAAATATTATTTGCATTTACTATTATTTTGCACTGCACAGTTGCTGCTTTATTTCAATGCACAGTTGGCGCGGTGGCTGGGCAACTGACTGCCGTGCAACGTGTTGCGGGTTCGATTCCCGCACGGGACAACTTTGTGTGCGATCCACAAATTGTTGTTCCGGGTCTGGGTGTTATGTGTATGTAAAATTGTAGGTATATTTGTAAACGCACTAACAACACAGGAAGTAATACAAATGAGACACAATGTTTAAAAAAAAATACACAAAATGCGATTAAAATATAAATTATATTAATAAGATAAGTCAGCCAACTCGTGGTTGGTGCAGGAACGTATAACCGTTGTGAGCTGCGCGCAGCGGTACGGCTAATATCAAGAACACTATTGGAACGGCTGCTAGACTCATATATTGAGAGGGTATTTCTGCTTTCGACAACCTTGTCAGTTTTATAACAATAGTGACCTGTAAACAATATTTTATATTTTTACAATACAAAAACATAATAAGCTATGTTTATAAGGTTACAGAAGAAAAATCACTTTCATACCACTGCTATAAAAGGGACAGTTTGCCACTGTATTCCTATACGCGACGAACAAGCATTTTCCTCCGTGGCCACATTCATGTCAGATTGGAAGTCATGGCTTCGATACACGTACAACAAACTGATTAGTTCTAGAAGTATTACAAACGGCGTCCCAATTCCTGTCATAACGGCATTCACACTCTCCAACAGCGCTATGCCGCCCTATGCAAAATAATAATTTTTCACCACATTAAAATATAGTACTCCCGCTAAAAGTTATAAATTAATACTCACATTTGTTGCATAAATCATGCTAAGTAACATACAAGATAGTATCAGAGCAGCTACTACAAGTTGTTCCCTAAATCTGTAAATATGGAAAAAAAATCATTTAAAAATAACGAAGTCTGTTATTAAAATTGACCAAAAATGTGTCCATTATACTTACACTAATTTTACTCTGTATTCAAATATAGTATGCAGCGCTGTTTTCAATAATATAAAAGTGACTGTTAAATAAGAAAACGTCAAACCACCAAATACTAGCGTCGTCCTAAAATTAACACAAAGATACATAAAATTGGGTAGTTTCCTAAATCAAAAATAAATAATAACTATCGTGAGACATACTAAATTAACTAAAATTCGCGGGTTACTCACGTGTAAATTTACACGTGAGTAACCCGCGAATTTTAGTTAATTTCAAAAATAAATAATTTATTCTACTTTCAATACAATAAAATATTGAAAAATAACTATACGATCATTCATCGATCGATCGATGCACTGAATTTTAGATATTTTTTGAGAAATAAGTAAACTGTTCGACGCAAAAACACTATGACGTCATAACTAAGTTTTTCATAATAATTTTATAGAAATAAAAGTATTGAATTTGACTAGTTGGAAACTACTGTATTACATTACACTAAATGTATCTATTACTTTTAAATCAATAAATAGTTATTAATGTCAAACTTACACAATATGTGAATAGTTACCCACTGATGTGCATTTAGAGTACATAGGTAAAATCCATGTAATACCTGTTGCACAATAAAATAAAAAGATAGCTACAAAATATCCAGTATATAGAAAGTAATAAAAATCATTTATTTTTCACCATGCAGCATATAACACAAAAACAAAATAAAATTAAAATTACCATTGATATAAAATAACAGATACGAAAAAAAAAAATAGTACAAGACATGCTAGCACATATTTATATTTTTCAATATTTCCTATGTTTATAAACATACCTTCTGTCACAGTACTGGTTGGATTCAATTGCATGTAATCAATATTTGCGCACATGGCAGCCCCGCTCGAATGGAGGCCCATCAACATTACCACTATTGCAGAATGCCACACGTTCTCATTGTGTAAGTCCGGATCTATGTGGCCATTAGCTACAATGGAAGAATATTCAAAAGTCTATTTTATAGCACGAGCGCATACGATCCTTACAAAACAATCATTTTTAATCAATGAAAGATTATAATTTCGACAGGTCTTTATGTGTCGAGTGATAAGGAACCTTTTCAGTAAATGGTTTAAAAATTAACTAAAAATATAATAAAACGAATGAAGAAAACACAAGTACATAACTGCAGTCTAGATACTCACTTACCTACTTCAACCCTGTTCCATATTTAAGTAGTGCACCCTTACCATAATGATTTAATGCTTTTCCGTGTATGAGTTCTGTCCCAACACCAAGAGAATGAGTATATAATGAAACTTTCAAAGCATCTGCTACAGCCTGCAATAAATGAAATATGATTTACTTTGACTGAGATGTACTATGATTCGGGATTTAAATATAATAATTAGTATTAGCGTTTCAATCGTGGTAATTTCAGACAAAACAATGGCTGCTCGAACGCCTGCACCCGTTTAGGGTTTGATGAATCAGGGGATGAATGAGATCAATTAAATATACGATATTAAAAGTCAGACAAGTAGGTACGTACCGCTAATATTTCCGTGGTATCTATTCTAGACGATCTTCGTAAAACTTTCGTCCATGACATGTTAGCAGCTACATATACCGTAAGGACTGTCGTCCACACAATTGGTACGATTAAAAACCAAGGCTTAACGTTTTCCCAAGTAAGCTAAAACTAAGAAAGTACAGACAAACCGAGGTATTTTGTAAAATACTTGCATCGTTATTAGTAATGTTAGCTGTGTCCGCACTTTTAAAGGATTAGGTACCTAGGAATTAGTGCTAAAAATACTTAATTACTTTCTTATAGAGAGTATAGTGACTTTTTCCGAGTTATATGTACTTTCTATGATTAAATAGACACCACTGACATACGGTGAAGGTAAACATCGTGAGGAAACCTGGACTTATAATTTCTAATCATAAGTTTGAAATCGCCAACCCGCATTGAGCAAGCGAGGTGATTAACCTTCTCCGTATGAGAAGAGGCCTTTGCTCAGCAGTGGGCACTTATAGGCTAATGATGAAGATGAGAGAGTATAGTAAATGCATTATAGCTTCTTATTTTGTACTTACCCTACTATGATTAAATTTTTCCATTATCATGATCAGCCATAGAATAAGCCAAGCGAAAATAATAAAAATCGCGAGAGGCATATTGAACTGCCCAAATCTATTCACCGGACGGTATTGGACTAGTTCAACGCTGGAATAAATTAAAACTGTTTCGTAAAGAAATCCACTGTATATACATACGTACATAAGATAATAGCAACAGAAACATAATAGCTATAGAAACTTACTAAAAAAAATTATATGCAGGAGTGTTGTATATAGGTGGATATTGCCCGATGTATGTTTCATTGCAAAATGCAATTATAGTTTCGTAACGGTACTTAGACCTACGAAACAAGTTTTGTATTTAATAAAATAAGAGTTTAACATTTTATTTATATATAGTAAGATACATTTTCATTAACCTTAAATATAATATAAAATAGCATATTGTGTGCGTGTCACACTAATGTTACATCTGAAATTCAAAGTAAGGACTTTTGTGTACCTAACATAGGTGCCATTCTTCTGGGTTTTGTGACTCAATCCAACAGTCTGGTTATTATTTTCTTCAGCTGGTAATCTAGATTTTGGCTAAAACAATAAAGTCAAAAGTACCGTGAGTGAGAGGTGTTTATTTTGGACTGGTGTGTTGACGACATGAGATATCTTCTAGATCGTTTTAATTAGCTTCAGACTTACTGCTTGTACAGGACCACCTTAATATAAACACTAATCTGTTTCTTATGATCCAATAGTTCCAAGCTTTTAGTTAAAGTAGCGTTCTGATCTCAGCACCAATGCACGTGGGATTACCTATTAACATGGGAGGCTACGGAGATATACTCAGGAATCTGGAAATTGTTAAAGCTGGAGTAGAAGGAAAAGTAGAAGGTCACAAAGCCTACTTATAAAAAAAGCCGATGATTTGTGTTATAGGCGTCCATGGGCCGTGCCGATCACTTACCATCAGGCAATCCGTCTCTTCATTTACATACAAGAATGGAAATCAACATTTTTTCTTATAATTTGAAGAATGAGTGTAAGATAACACTTACCCCTCGTAATGAATAAATTTTTAAATTCTTGTACACTGGATCATATGGCATAAGATTAAAATCGCTAAAACAATAAATAAGAGTGGGTTGATGATTATCTATATAGTTATTATTGTTTATGAGTTCACTCTTTAAAGATAAACTTCGATGTAGCCAATTACCTACCGCTCGGCGTTAACAGTGGGATTTTGTTAGTGGATGAATGTCTACTTCTATGATATGTAGATATACATTCAGTCAACAAAGTATCGGGAATGAATGTTTTTTTTATGGTTCCAAATTCGAATTTTATTTTTTTTGTTAGATTGGCATATGTTTTCCATTTTGGCGCGGAATTTGAGTTGCATCTGTTATTTATATTTAAAACAGTGCTGTTTTTAGTTTTATAATATCTAGTGTGTATTGCGAATTTCATAATGGACAAAAACATCGAACAAAGAGTTTGTCTTAAATTTTGCATCGCCAATGAAATTTCGTGTTCGGAGGCACTCGAAATGTTACAGAAGGCTTACGGTGAATCGACTTTATCAAAAACACGTGCTTATGAGTGGTACAAAGCGTTCAAAAGCGGTCGAGATGTGATGGAAGATTTGCCTCGTTCTGGCCATCAACGTCTGCAACTGAAGTTAACATCGCAAAAGTGAAGGAAATAGTGACTGAAAATCCTCATTCAAGTTTGAGAGAGATGGCCGCCGAACTTTCTGTATCTCACAAGTCGATCCGTACCATTTTAACAAATAATTTGGGTATGAAACGTGTTGCCGCTCGGCTAGTCCCAAAAGACCTGAATTTTCTTCAAAAACTAAATCGCATGACAGTCGCTGAGGACATGCTAGAACGAGTCAATACCGACCTAACATTCATGAAACGCATTGTTACTGGTGACGAGACGTGGGTTCACGAGTTTGACATGCAAACTAGTCAACAAGCTTCGGAATGGCGCCTTCCATCTGTACCAAAACCGAAAAAACCACAAAAGCGTCAAAGTCGATCAAAAGTCAAAGTCATGTTAACTGTTTTCTTTGACTATCGCGGTGTTGTGCACTCAGAATTCTTGCCCGAAGGTCAAACGGTAAATAAAGAATATTATTTGAGCGTTATGCGGCGTTTAAGAGAACAAATTCGACGAAAAACGCCAGAAATGTGGAAAGAAAATTCTTGGATTTTGCATCACGATAATGCGCCTTCGCACAAGGCCATCATTGTAAACGATTTTTTGTCCAAACACTCAACAAACACCATCGAGCAGCCACCATATTCACCAGATATGGCTCCAGCCGACTTCTTTCTTTTTCCCACACTCAAATTACCCCTTCGTGGCACCCGTTTTCAATCGTTAGAAGACATAAAGGAGAATTCGCGGCGAGCACTGAACTCAATTCCGGAAACAGCGTTTAAAAAAAGTTTCGATGATTGGATTATTCGTTGGCGTAGTAGCATACTTTGAAGGTGATAAAATAAATTTAGATGAATAACAAACATTTTGTGTATTATTGACTTTTTCCCGGTACTTTCTTGACAGAGTAGTATGTTACCCATATTGGAATATATTTAGGTATAAAATAGAAAAGGGCAGGGAGAAATACAGTAAATCGATTAAGTACCTATATATTAAATATTCGTAAACTTGCACTTACCGGCAGTACGTGTGAGGTAATTTGGAATCCGCCACAGAATGCATGACATATATTGCAGCGATAGCTGCCATGGTACAACAAATGATAGCGCGCACTATCGCATTAATACACATTGCTATACCAATACCTGTAGAACCGAGTGGGATTAGTAAGACTGACTCAAGTAAGATGGACACAATCAAGAGCTCTAAAGTGTTAGAGATTTCAAAAATAAATAAGTAGCACCACCTAAATTTCATAACAAATAGCTTCTTCGTTTCCATTCTACAGTCTTTTTCCAGGTGAAGAGCAGGGAAATTTTGACTGCTGGCGGTTGGTGAAGTAGGTAACTGGCTGCTGTACCTACCTCGTGTCATAAGTTTGATTCCCGCACGGAACAACACTGTGTGATCCACAAATTATTGTTTCGGGTCTGAATGGCTT